TCAGACATTAGAGCTTGTATTCAAAAACTGTAAGAAAAAAAAAAAGTGTATACCAAAACAAAAATCTAACCACCTTCATTAATATGGAAGACTCCCTTCTTGTACACACACACAGACAAGTCTAGGTTGTACAACCAATTCAAAGATCAAATTTCCTTATTAAACATTCTGGCAACCTCCAGTGTTATTAATAATTACTTCATGAAGACTTCAGTAATTATCTCTGCTTATGTGCAATAAAAATGCCCTAAGATTTGCATAACTCTACCTCTTCACAACTTCACTGAAATTAAGAGGGAAAACTTATAACATTATGAACATAATATTAACTTAAGATGCACAAGTCCAGTAAGATAGCTGGAAAACCTGAAATTCCCCTAGATGTTACTGACTACCAAGACCCAAATATTTCAAGTAACTTTTAAAACTTTCATCTTCAATAAACAAACCACTCATGCAACAAAAGCACAAACACACAAAGTCCTAGCAGATACTCCTGTCACTCATCTTTCAGCCTGGGAAGTGATACCAAAACCAGCACTGCTATAATTGATCACAGACCCTGTTGGTGCAACTGGCACTTGTCATTCTGAGACTGTGTGACCCCTGATAATTGCTAAATCACCAAATACACTTGTTTCTATCCCAGATAACCTCTGACTTTTGTGGATGCTGCTCCTTTCTGCACCTGTGCAGTACAGCTGATGCTCACAGCTTCTCTTATGCAACATGGTAGGTAGAAAGGCAGACCTGCAGCTCTGCATGTTCTGGGTTTCTGCATCCAACTTAGTTAGCTGTAATCATCACTTCAATGAAAATCAGATAGTTAAAGCTGATGTCAGCTGAGACAACCATATGAACAGGAATAACGAAATGCCTCAGATAATTAGTCTCTTGCAAGCTCCCTAGCTCCTCAAAGGCCATCACCACCACCAGACACTTTCTGTGCCTGAAGCTCACCAATCCTTGTTAAGACACAAAAAGAAATCCCAAATCTTGACAGAAAGCAATCTATGGGAAATATTAGGCTACTGTTAACATAACTCTCTCCTCTTTGTTAGTACTAGTTCAAGTCCCCTTTCAAAGAAAAAAATGAAGACATACATCACAAAATTACTTGACAATTAATATACTTTTCCAAACACATAATGCAAAAATACTAGCTCTGCTAATCAAGGGACAAGAGAGGAAGACATTGGTGCATCTGTTTAAGCACTATGAGAGAATTCCTGTATTAAAGGTATTACTAACATTCTAGAGTCAGAGTCATTCAGCTAGAATAAAACTGGTCTATTTCCACCCTAAATATTTTTTTGGTTTAAAATATTATTTAAGTTTGAGAGTTTGTTTTACTACCTACCATTCAGAGATGCTTCTGAATAAACAAACACTCTTTCAGAAACAGTGGTATCTTCCAAGAAGAAAACATTAATTAAACAAGGTGAATTCCCACCTATTTTATAGCCATTGTGTATGGGGCAGAGAGGCCCCATACAAGCAGTCAGATATATATATTTTTTTTTAAACAAAAGCTTCATCTCCATTCAGAATCCACATTCTCTTCCCAGTGAAAAGTGTATCTCAGAAACACAGAATTGTCTAGGTTGGAAGAGACCTCAAGATCATTGAATCCAACCTCTGACCTAACACCAACAAGTCCTCCACTACAACATATCGCTAAGTTCAACATCTAAATGTCTTTTAAAGACCTCCAGGGATGGTGACTCAACCACCTCCCTGGGAAGCCCATTCCAATGCCTCACAACCCTCTCAGTAAAGAAGTTCTTCCTAATATCCAACCTAAACCAGCCCTGGCACAACTTTAGCCCCTTCCCCCTTGTTGTGGTTTAACCCGGCTGGCAGCTAAACACCACACAGCCGTTCACCCTTCCCTCCTACCTCTCTGGGACGGGGGAGAGAAATGGAAAGTGAAGCCTGTGAGTTGAGATAAAGACAGTTTAATAAGACAGTAAAATAATAATAACAACAACAATAATAATAATACAATGGTGATAATAGTACTACTACTAATAATGTGTACAAACAAGTGATGCACAATGCAATTGCTCACCACCCGCTGACTGATGAGGCCTTCACCGTTTCATCTACCGTAATAAGTAATTTATTGTGGTTTTTGACTCTTCTCAACATCAACAAGTATAAGGCAAGTTATATATATTAAAAAAAAAAAAAAAAGTAGAGGACGAATTAACTGCCTTTTTGTCTTAATGTCAAAATGTGTAGTGTTCCTAAGAATTATTAAAAACGTAAAAAAATAATCAATAATAATAATAACCTAATAATCTAGAATAACAATAAACTAGAAAACATATTGTGCTTTGAGGCTACGTTTCCTCCTTCAAGTATTAATCAAGGTATTTCTCTCTCTCCTGCACACACCTACACAACTTACATGTAGAAATTCTAGACAGAAAATGCTAAATGTACAGCCCACACTGGCTTTCAAAATTGCATCTATATTCAGCCATATTACCTATAGGTGGCTTCTTGGAGATAGGAGATACAATCTCATTTTAGTTTCTTAGCAGGCTACACAGATAGGACAGAGACTGAAAAAACATTGCTGTTTCAGTTGCCTACAGGGCTTATTTTGAAACTGCATTCATTGTAGAAATCTGTTTGAAAATTTTTGCTAAATGTTTTTCAGAGAATAACAAAATTATATTATCAGCAACTCTTCCTTTACTCTAGCCACTTCTTTCTGTTTTTAACCAATTCTATTGAGGTCTATGAGATACCTACTAAACTACCAGAGTCTGTTTCTCCCTTTCCTTTTTTCCATAGGGATAAAAGCAAGCAATCAAAACCACGCACGTGCACACACACATACACAAAAAAGTATCTTTTCAAGCAGAAATAATAATAAAAACATTTTTGAAAAAAAAAAAAAAAGTCTTCCCTATTGCTTCCTATTTGTTATAATTTATTTTGTGAGATGTTGCATTTTCGAGCACTTCACTGAGAAAATTAAGTTATCACTAGGACAACAAGTACATAAGGAACTTACTGAAATGTGATAAACTAGTTTTTCAATATCTGAGAAGTTCAAGGACATATATATCAGAAGAACAAGAAATCTTTCTATCCAGATTTATTATTTTAATATAAGCTGGTAAAATAAAACCAACAATTTATTAGGTTCTATACTATTATTAAGTATATTTTAACACTAGATTTATTCTACAAAAATTTTTGAATTTTGTTAGCTGCACACATCAGTTATGAGTATTCTGCAAGAAAGGTGGGGTGGGAAGGAGAGAGAGATAATAAAATAAAGTAAGCTAACGTACAATTAAATACAAAAGATTATTTAAGCCAACCAGGTATCTTCCTGAAACAGAAATTCCAGTAAGCCTATCATAAAGCAAAACAATTAACAAGATGAAAACTTACACATTCTCCTAAGGATAGAAAGAAAAGAAGAAAATGAAAGTAATTTGTACACAAATCCTTGCCTGTCAGTCCAGTGGGTGCAAAGGCACTGCACAGGAATTGAGGTATTTTAGGAAAATACCTTTGGGGAATTCACTTTCATCTCATATAAAGCACCTTTGAGAAACTTTGGATGAATAGCTATTTGACTTATTATTTACTTAATGTTAGTGAGAAATAAACACCTATTCTTTTCCTTCTTATTAGTGTTTCGAAGAATAGGATGGTAGAACAAACAAATAAAATAGAGTATCTTTAGGACAAAATAAATTTTATACAGAAGGTCCAAAGCCACTGAAATGTTTTCATAGAGCTAAGTTTTCATGAAATGCTTTCTTCATAATTAGTTTGCAGAAATTGCATTTTATTGAGGTAAGGAATTCTCAATACAAAGATGGTAGTTTGTCTTTGTCCTTTAACCTGTGAGGCCCACTTGGTCTGAAAAACAGGGAAACCAAATGCTTCCCTGATTTATTTAATAAGTGCATATAAACTTATGTTTATGGTGCTACCTTTTAAAAGTATTTTTTTGTTCCACCTTTCAATTAAATATTTCAGGGGAGACTTACAGGAACAAAACCACATCAGGCTTGGAGATCGATATAATTATACAGTATTGGATTTTACCATTCTATTTACATACTTGCCCATAAAAATGAAAGACTCATTGTAATTCCCTTCATGTAGAAATACAGCTATAAGAACATACAATCTTTTTCTAATGGAAATTAGAATTGCAATTAGATCTAATAAAAAAAAAAAATGCATGAGTAGAACATTTGTTCTGCAAAAGATGCTGATGTAGCAAAGTCAAAAAAGTTCAAAAGGGCATGTCAATTCTGTTGACATTTTTAATGCAGAGCATAAGAAGACTAGTTGGCCTGCCTGCCCAGATTTTTGGTGCCAAAATTTGTCCTGGCTAGTTGCCCCTAAGGGTATCCATTTTTGCATGAAGACAAGCTAGCTGGAAACATAATTTACTTTTGAAAAATATACTTAGGCCTCTAGTTGGTAGCTAGACAGTCCTCAGATCCAGTCAGTCAGATACATATGAAAATATATCTGATTTTATATTGTTATACATTATTTTATAATACATATATATTCAGGCTTTATCTTCCAATAGAAGTTTTAACATGGAGAGTTAAAAGAAATAGAGTATTTGAGGGTGTTCTGTTTTTAAACGCAAAAAAAAAAAAAAAAAAAAAAAAAAAGTGAAAGAGCTTTTAAAGAAAATCTGATAGACTGTATTTTAAGATACAACTATAGAAAATTAGATCCAAGGCATCTCCCCCTCTATTTTAGCTCAAAGCTGATTTTCTTCAACCCAGAGCAACCCTTGCACTCTCTGTTCCACAAGAACCTAACCTCTGAATTACTACTTAAAAGTGAAACACCCTTTTCACTGGTCTTTCCCCTATTTGTACTTTCAGTATTAAATTTAGCATGATCAGAACACATCTACCAGATCAGATTCAATAAAATATGATAGCTACAATAAACCATATTTTAAAAACAGACAATGCAAAAATAAATCAGATGTTTACCTAGTTAGTACTTCAGGAATTCAGTAACTACTTGATTTTCTATAAAAGGCAGTAACAGCCATCCAGGTTCTACAAATACCCTAAAAAGTAAAGATCTAATGAGTGATGGTAAGACCTAAATGTTTATTGTGGACACCTGTTGTGGTCAGTGTGACTGCAACTCTTGCAGGGAAAAGCAAAGTTCATTTAGGAAATGGAATTCTAAATTCATCACCTGTTATTCCAAGAGACTAATTATAATGATATGTAGACTCAACCTGTGATTAATTACATAAAGCTATCTAAACAGATTTATATTTTTTTTAATTGTAAAATCACTGTTAATGTAAAGTCCACAAAACTTACTACCAAAAGGTAAATATGTCAAAATGCATAGATTCACACCCTTCTGATGCAGAGCTGTTTAATTCCCAGGTAAATGATATGGCTCCTAGTCTAACAAAGAAACATCTTCATAACAGTACCTGCAATAGTGAGCAGACTACCATGTAAAAAAGGAAAAGAGCTTGAATGTAAAAGACTGAGCTTCTCTGGAACCAAGAGATATCAAAGAGATATCAATATTACTGACTGTAAAAGCTAATGCACCCTACAGTAAAGGCAACATGGTAAAAAGTAGGAAACTCTAATATACTAAATCAGTCTGAAGGTTCGCTATTAAGGGTGTCTTTGAAATTTATCACTGACAAAGACTTTCAAAAGAGATTTCTTTAATGAGTATCTCTGATGGAGCTCTTTTTAAAGTAGGATTCGTAACAGGCTACATTGGCTGTGATGGTAATATTGGTAATAAGTAAAAAGACCAAACGTTTCCTGAAACACTGCTTAACTGTTTTGTTATCTCTTGAGGAAAATGTGATAAAAGTAAATAAAAACAACACCCCAAAATCTACAAGAAACTGTGTTATGTTTTACTATTTCATATCTGTCCTCTACTTCACCAAAATCAAAAAATTCAAGTGCAGAGAAAAAGACAGTCAAATATAGTTCCTCCTCATTCCCCTCCCAGTATCTTACAAACATGAAATAAAATCTTTCTCTTTTGCTTTAGAGCACCTGGTTCCCAATTGCTAGCTAAAGGTAATTAGCCTTTAATTATCACCAGTTACATTTTCACCTGCAAAGCACTGGAACATGAGGCTTGCCCAATTAGCATATTCATCTCCCACCTGCAGGCAGTGAGGAAACACTTCTTCACTTCAACTAAGGGATTAATCTTTAATTTACCAATGTCTTAGGTGCATTCTCAACTGAACCCACAAAATGCAATTCTTACATAAATGTGCAGATTCTGAGGTCAAATGGTTTGCTTTACTAGAAAATGATGCTAAGGACTTCTTATACCCTCCTACAAGGTTAACCACTGGAAAAACCTTAGAATACTTCCACAGTAATAAACACCAAAGTGAAAAAATCAATGTACAGACAAACTGTCCAGTCCTTTCAGTTTTCTCTCACTAGTTTAATATTGTTAAATGAACTGAAGGAGACTCATAAACATTGTTGATATACTAATGAAAATATGAAGTATGAAAATCTGCCTCCTGAATCCTCCTGAAAGTTTGTGCAATACTCTCAAATGCAGGTAGTCTGATTCTCTATACAAAATATAAATGCTTCCGTTGACTTTCCAGCAATGTATGTAGCTTTTTTCTGGGCTTGTTACATTCATTCTCTAGCTTAAATTTTACTTGCAATATTACTTTTAAAAGCAAAATAATTTAGTTATTACATAAGTTGGCCTACCGACATAGTTATTTTTTGTACGTATTTGATGATGTGAATGTTTGCAGTCTAGGGCTTTAATTTTGCAGATAAACACATCCTTATGTATGTGGTAAGTTCTGATGCCTTCAAGTGGACTAATGTTGTGCATAAACACATCACTAAGGTGCGTATTTTCAGGAGGAAGACAAAGAATTATGAATTATTACAGACCAGAATGTTATGGCTAGTGTCTGGAATAATATACATACTGCTGAAATAACTTACACTCTACTAATCTTCAGTATAGGAAAGTTTTACTTGGGAGGGTTTTATTTTGGTCATCTGTTATTCTGTTTGTGTGTGTGGAGGAGGTTGTTTGTTTGTTTGACATTTTAAAAAATAAACTTAATAGTTTTTGCATAAAATGCCATTGCCTTTTATTGCCATTTATTGACTTTAATGTGTTCAGATATACAAAGAATCTATAGTCAAATTAACAAAAGACATAGAGAAGAACCTCCATCCATAAATCCAAGAACCTTTATTGCTTTACAGAGTTAAAAACTGAAAAATAAATACCTTACTCCATAATGCAACAGGTAAAGTAAATTCATACACTCACCCTCTTTAAGCAGTAACATTGTGCTAAGGTGTCATAATTTCAGCAGGGATAGAGTTAATTTTCTTCAAATAGGCTTATGCTCATAAGATGCCATGGTTTGGAATTCTTATGAGAAAACTCATGTTTCAGTTGATGAAGGGCAGTGTTTACACAGAACCAGAAACTTTTCTGCTTCTTCTGCTGCCCAGCCAGTGAGGATGCTCGGGGTGCCCCAGGAGCTGGGAGGGGACACAGCCATGACAGCTGGCTAGAGGGACATCTCATACTTTATGTCATCTTGCTCAGCAATAACAGCTAGGGAAGGTGGAAAAAAAGGAGGAGGAAAGGGTGACATTAGGAGTGATGGCATTTGTCTTCCCAAGAAATGAACCTTGCTTTCCAGGAATGGCTGAACACCTGCGTGATGATAGGAAGTAGCAAATAATTCTTTGGTTTGCTTTGCTTGCATGTGCAGCTTTTGCTTTAGCTAATAAACTGTCCTTATTTCAACCTATGAGTTCTCACAGTTTTACCTTTCTGATTCTCTCTCCCATCCCACATGGAAAGAGTGAGCGAGCACCAAGTGTGGTGCTTAGCTGCATGCTGGGTTAAACCACAATATAAAGTAATATTTTTCTTTTATGAGTATTTTTTTCTCCTGCTCTGTAATATATCTTCATGTCAAAACTTGATTCAAATAAAGACTCTGTTGACAAAGTATGAATAAAAATATGCATAGAAATTATTTATACAATATGTTTATAAGATTGTCTGACAGGAGTGCAGCGTAACTAGCTCAGTGTATCATATTATTGTTATTGTATTATTAATTATTTTATGAAAAAGACTGCTATGGAGTAAACAGGGAAATAAATTATATAAATTATAATTTTTAATAATAAAATGAACAAGCTTAAAAACAGTGATACTGTGCTCTTTTTTATATGCAAATAGATCCTTCTTCCTACTATATGTAAAATGTAACCTACCAGTCTCAAATATAGCCTTTGGTATGTGTTCATGGTAGGCACTACATTTCATCGTAGTTAAAACATTTCTAAACCTTTTTTTTAAAGCATTTTTTATTATTTTTTTCATTAGCAAAGGATATTATATTCCATATTTTGCCTTGTTGTAGATGCAAAATGGTTGACTATATTTCTTTTCTGTGCTAAAGCACTGAGACACCAGCATAAACAATGGACCACATACTAATTTGTCTTTTCATCCTGTTATATACACATATTTTTTTGGAGGGTACTCCAGATATGTAAAATTGGATTTCTAAAGGATTAGGTAGATATTTAACTCATAAGGCTTTGATTTATTCTGAGGAAAATTTTATTTTCTTGCTTCAACTAGCAATTCCATCCATAACTTGAAAAACCCACTTCACAGAGTTTAATCACAACTAATTAAAAAAAAAAAAAAAAAAAGTTTTCCTGTGGGAAAGTAATGAATCTGTATTTTCCACTGAAGGTAATTTAATCAAATATTTCTGAACTATATTCATCATTCCTTTCTGTCTTGCTGTATACTGATAGACAAGAGCATTCTGTCAAGCTGCAGTGATTTTCTAAGTGGATGAGAAGAATGGTATGTGTGTAAAATTGAAATAGTTTAAAAAAGGCAAAACGGTTACTTACATTGGAATGGTAACACCATTTTTGCATAGATAATAAGATTGAATTGATTTTATGAGAAGATCGTAATTGAAAACAACCATTTCTGGTTAGAAGCACTTAGATCAATTAACTTATTCTTCCCAAAATATTCTTAGGATTATCTTCCCTAGAAGTTATTTTTCCCCAATAATTTCCTACTCACTAATTTCTCATGGCTGTAAATATGATAAATTGGAAAACACCAAGTTATAGTGGGTTATTTCTGTGACAGTAACTGTGGAAAGTGCAAGTCAGCTGTCATACTTTGACCTGCCATCACAATGGTGGTATTGAATAATCTTCCTCAATATTCAAGAAAAATACATTTGTAAGATACAGAACTCCAGTTTATTTTGGTCAGTCTCAATCATGCAGAAATGTGTGTGTGTGTGTGTGTGTGTATATAAAATTATGACCACACTGTAAAGAGGAAACAGGCTGCCATATTTTAAAGAGTTGTAGAAAGCAGGCATTAGTTAAGCTAGTATACAGAATTAAAATGAATGAAGATCCTAGGAAAACACAGGACTGGAGAACCACCAAGAAAACACAATGTACATCTGAGGCGTGTGGAGTGTGAATCTGTTTTTCAAAGGAGAACTTTATTTAAAATTGTCAGGATTTATTTATTTAATTATTTTTGGGTGGTGGACCATATGTTGATCGTATGCTAGGAGTAGTCTTGAAGTGTTACTATAACATCAGTGTGCATAGTTTATATCTATATAAAGCTGTAGGAAAGATACGAAGATGTATATCTCAAGGCTGAAGGAAGTTTTATATGTAGTATAACTGTAATCCAAAGCCAAATTATTAAATTACTAGAATAAAAATGCCAAACATTTGGCATTTGGCATTTTGGCAATCTATCTGGCATCAAAAAAAAAAAAAAATTAAGTAATCCAGCTTTCATATATTTCTGTCTCACTTAACCCTCCTCCTCTGCATTATCCAATCAGAATTTTAACATTGTTCTTTAGTATTTACATATATACGTATCAATATACGTATTACATACAGTTAGCATCCAGGAAGGAGCAACTAGGTGATAGTGCTATGACATAGAAAAGGGGGT